GACACGCACTCTAAACCTACCATACTGCATTAAATGAACATTTAATGCACTGGGTATAAATAGAAGTGTTTCTTCTCCATGCAGAGTGCGCGCATCACTATCTATTCTCATTCTTACTTCAAGCTTCTTTCAGCTTAAGTAAAAGACTATTTTAGCAATATCTTTTCTTATATTTGCTAACCTTTGTGTGTAACTTAAGATTGTTTAGATAGGTTTCTTATACCTTATCTTTCCGTAGATAATTTTGTAAAATCTGTATTGATCTTCTCTATCAATATATATTTTAAATTTGAAAATTGTGTTTGTATTCATCCCCCCCCCCTTCTACAAACTGTTTAGTATTCTTGTAGACCCTTTGGGACCAACAAATTATATAAAAGAATATAAATTAATTTAATTGACAAATAACTAAATTTTATATAATTAATTAGATAATTCTAAAATTATAATTCACGTTGGTATTTTGATTTGACGATTTAATTGAAGATTTAGCAAAATGATAAGTGGACAAGATCTCATGAGGTGATATGTTAATATTGTTTATATTCTTCTCGTAAGTTTAGTATTCTTGTTTGATCATGTCCTACTTATTTTATATTTTTTTTGGGTTTGTTTTACTTGATCTCATTGTAGTTTCTTCCTCGATTTAAGGGCTTTATGTATGTATCAAGAAACCAATATACGAAGATACCAGTAACTACTAAGTATTGATATGATAGTGAAACAGATAACTGGGTCGTCACCAAATCAATAGGTGACCCAACAATTTTCTCCTATTTGATGATGACACAAACACTTAGAAAGAAACAAATACAAGATACACAAACTTTAAAATTTTCTGAGAATAAGAACTTATAAATTCGATGACCCATGTATATGTTCTATTTGGGTTCTATTTTTTGTTTTTTTTTAACTATAAACGTATATACAAAACAAATAATGAATCACATAATGCAATAAATAAATAATGACATATAAATTATATTTATACTAGACAATGAATTTAAAGTACATAAAGTAAAGAAGAGAGTTCAAAAAGAAAAAAAAAACACATAGATAGATCAGCTAGCAATCATCATCTACTTCCATGACATCTGTATCTGTGGCTGCAACTGCATCTCTTTTCTTTAGTTCATCAGATATCAAAGTATAGAAGACTTTTCCGGATTCATCAATTTTAATGATACTAAGTATCACACGAAGTAGCTAAGAATCAGCTGTTAGTATCTCGGAGGCTCAGAAATATGGAAGACAACTGCTCGTGTCCCAAAAGAATATTCCATGCAGGAGCGGATGCATGTGTTAGGGGTTGGTGTCCTGGGCCCCCAACAAAATCAAGTCTACAAAGCCCATTTTTTTTAATTTTACTTATAGTTTTTATATTTATCTAACTGGGACCCCAATAAAATAAACATGAAGGCCCCTCACTCCAGCCTAGCCCATAATTCATTTAACCTTGTCCTTGTTCCATAGGCACGGCTTCACGCCTTCAACTTCAACCTGCCCTCAGGCCGCTTCACCTTCATTCATCGATGGTCGACCATTGCTTCCTGCTTCCCTTCGGCCCTTCCTGCACATCGCTTCTGCCCCTGCTGCCCACTGCTCCCTCTTCCCTCTTTCGCCTTTGGCCTTCTTGCTGCTTCCAGTTCCAGCTTCCTGTTGCTGCTTGCTTGAAGCTTGATTCCTGCAAACTGCACTGTCACTGCTTGCTTCCTGCGGTTGCGTCGATTGCTACTCCAAATTGGGTAAAAACCTAAAGTTTTGATTTCCAATCTTTAATTTTTTAATGACTTCGATTTTGTTGTTTGCTTCGTAATTGGTGATTTGGTGAATGTTTAACTGTTTATGTTAAGTTAATTTTGCAATTTTGTAGACATATGGAAAGGTTAGGTTAATTTTTCAATTTTGTAGTCAAATGGAAATGTTAGGTTAGACAAATGGAAAAAGTAGTTCGTGACCTCAATTCTACCTGAAAATCCATCCTGCTGAAATGCCATTTTATACTTGAAAATTGAAATTAGTATGGGTAGAACCTTTTAGTTAAAATTATGATTGAAATATAACTACTTTCTACAGAATATCGACACCAATTGTGGCAATGGATAATTGATATTATTTAACAATGGGCAACTAGTTATTTATCTTCTTGAACTTGGACAAAGAAACTAAGCATCGCTTATCAAGGATAAAGTAGAAAGAAACAAATCCACTAAATAATTTGTCTACAAAATTATATCATGCCCCTATAATAAATTTTTTTGCATTTGCCACTGATTCCATGCTCGGGTGTGGACATGATAGTTCCTTTTGGATGAGAGTCATGAGTAAGAAGAGTAAGATCTAGAGGTAAAAACAGATTTCGATGAGCCAACTTTTAGTCAAAAGTGACTTAAGAACAAAGAGTTGTGGAGGGGAAGATAACTTGTAATGCTTCTTGATCATTAATATCTTTTTCAAGAGCCGATACAAATGATTCAATACATGTTTCTGCTTGTTTTTGAGAAACTTGATTGTCTTTATCCACTCAGATGAGCCATAAACATTTATCAAAAATAGTTTTTCAGTTCTCACTACTCTGTTTGCTCGACCAATTATCAGATAAATTTGATTCGAACGTGAGTCAATTTTTTAGGGCCTTTGATTCGAGCACTAATAATCTGAGTAGCAATGTACCGATGGAAGATTCAATCATTGAACCATTTTGTTCTTTTCCCTCTGGTTTCTTCAATTTTTGACTGCTGGACCAAAGACAGAGACATGTTGGCTTCATCAAATTGCTTTTGAAAAGCAATTGAATTAGCCGCATCCTCAGCTGAAATGCCCAAGAGATGAAGATCAGTTTTAACAGGAGTTGGAGTTTTAGTTTTTCATTTATTGAGACTTCTGTCTAATTCTTTGCAATCTTGGTTGTTTTAGCTTCAACAACTTCTTCATCAGATATCATGGGTGCCTTTCCGTCTCATTGAGTTGGAACATCCATGTCCCCAGAAGTAGAAGTCATAGCCACCTGAGAAGAAATGACCTGTTGATGCTCCCCTTAATAGATAAACCAGTTGTAGGCTGAGAGGGAATAATAGGGTGAGAACTCGGTTGTTCCCCTTTAACAAATAAGATGGCTGCAACTATGTCTTGATCAAACAGCTCCCCCTCAAAAGGAGCATCAATGTCTGAAGATTCATCATTAGAAGAGAAAGAAGAAGTAGAAGCTGATTGGTTCTTGTAGTCACTGGTGACATGGTCAACCGTCTTCTCCCCTTCAGTGGGAACAGGGAAAGACAAATCCAACAATTGGGTTTTCCCTGTCATTAGGAATGGTGGAAGCCACAGAATCAGTAGCACGGGAAGTGGGGGTAAAAGAAGCACCTGTGGGACGTAGCAAACGAGAGATATTGCGATAAAGATCACATAGAAGACTAGATTCAGCTTAAACATGTCTATTAACTGTAACACCCTCATTTTCATCAAGAGAGTTGTTACGTAATCTAAAACATTTTACCTTAATAGATACACCAAAATAATAGCTAAATTAAAACCATTTAAACTATTACAGCGGAAG